AAAAAAATAAAAATAATAATAATAATAATTTCAGACTCACAGAAAAGTTGTAAGGAAAGTACAAAATTCTCACGTTTCAAATGTTTACATTTAACCACATGCGTTTTATTTTTCCTTTCCTTCCTAGCCCCTCCCCTTCTATGTAAAACAAGAGGCAGAAGGAGGAAGTCAGAGGAAACTCCAGATTGAAATTTAGTTGTCTTAGACCCCTAAGCTGAAATGACCAATAAACACATAAACTAGTGTGTAATACACAGAAACCGCCCTGTCGCACATTCCTCACATAGAGTTGAGCCTAGAGCAGTGGTTACTACTTATGAGAATAAATGTGTCCTCCAGGGGACATTGGCAATGTCTGGAGAGATTGCTTATTGACTGGAGAGGGTGTGCTCTAGCACCTGGCAAGGAGAAGCCAGGGAGCTGCCGAACATCCTGCAGTACTCAGATGGCTTCCCCCATGAAAACAAAAAGAGAATTATTTGGCCCAAAATGTCAATTGGGTGTAAGTTGAAAAGCCTTGACCCACTGCAGTAGGTCTCAGGACATCAGTATCAACACCACGAGAAAATGTGTTAGACATGAAGTTCTCAGGCCCCAAGACCTTTTGAATCAGAGACACTGGAGAATGGCCCAGCAGTGTATTTTAACACACCCTCCAAGTGAAGCAAACTCAAGTTTGAGAAATCACTGGCCCAGTGGGCCAGAACAGACTTTAAAATATTCTGTACTTACAGGAAATATGCCATTTTGTAAGGGATGCACTGTCTGTGTTAAATTGTGTTCATACTATTAAATGTTTGCATCCATCTACAAATCTTGCAGACAAATGAAAGATGGGCTTCCATAGCTTCATGGCAGTGAGAGCCATGGTTATGGTAACAGTCACTGAAAGTCACCTTTGACAATCTAGTTGCCCCAGTGCACAAAAGTAAACTCAGACTTCAGAGCCAGACTTAAACATGAATCCCAGTCCCACCAGTTATAAGTTGTGAACTCCTGAAATGTTTTTAACCTCCTGGAGCTTCCATTTTCTGATCTATAAAGAGAATAAGAATACATACCTTATGATTGTGAGGGTTAACATGAGTCACACAAAGTGCCAGTCACAGAGAAGAGACTCCATAAATAGTAGCTTTTAAAACTAAAGTTCTGATCAGGAGTACATGGCCAATTAATAAGGACGATTATCCTAGGCTTCTTTAGAAATGACCTTTGTGACAGTATATTCCATAGTAAAGCAACTATATTTTCCATGCCTGGAAAATAAAATAGAACCAACTATAAGCTCACTTTTGGCATATCTTAGACACAGCCGTAAGACCCTGTTTTACACCTTTTGGGATTCTGGTTATCATCTAACTGTACCCTGTCCAATAGGTTAGTCACTAGTCACTTATGGCTATATAAATTAACCGAAACATCTATTTCAGGTCAAGATGAACTAACAGAGCCCAGATTTATCCTTCTGCCTAAAACAACTAAGAAAGTAGACAACATATAGGAAAGAGAGACACTCATGACCTTGGACACAGGCAGTAAAGGACAGTGATCCTTGGGGGATGGGAAACAAGCAAGGTAAGCTCTACCCACTTACTACTTGAAGAAAGCTTTGAGGCTGTGCACAGGGCAGAGTCCTGGAGGCTAGAGAGGAGAGAGCACTGGAGGCCACCAGAGGCTTCGCCTCAAGCATTGCAGAGTACGGATCATCACATACATGTGAGGAAACTGAGTGAGCCAGGCGAAGACCTACCAAAGGAATTAGAACAATCCTTAGAGATGATGCAGGGATGGGAATAGAGCCTGTTTCCACCTGCCAGAGAGGAAAACCTCATAATTCAGGGGCATTTATTAGAGTACAATGAGAGGTCTTGCCTCAGAAAGAGGGGAAAAATATCTTTATAGATTAAATGCGGCCCTGGTCCTGACTTAACAAAACTTAAAAGCATGACTTGAAAGGACCAAATTGTTTCCAAGTCACTTAACTGTATCCCTGGACAAACATCAAGAATCTTTATAGGAATACAAAAATATCCAGCACCCAAAAAGGTAAAATTCACAATATCTGACACTCAGTGAAAATTTACCAGGCATGCAAGGAAACTGAAAAAAAAAAAAGTCACAACCCACAATGAGAAGAAATATCAGTCAACTAAAACTGACTAGGGAATTATAGAATTAGCAGACAAGGACACTTAAAGAGTTATTATGACTGTATTTCATGTGTTTAGAAGCAAGAGGAAAGCCTGAATATGTTAAATAGAGATATGGAAAATATAATAGAAGACCCCAGTTGAATTTGGTGAAAACTACACTGTCTGAAATGACAACCACATTGGGTGGCATTAACAAGATATTATACATCAGAAGAAATGATTAGTGAATTTGAAGGCTAAGCAATAGAAACTATCCAAAATGAAAGAGAGAGAAAAAAACCTGAGAAAAAAAATGAACAGGGCATCAGTGAATTGCAGGACAATATCAAGTGATCAAATATATGTATACTTACAGTCCTCAAAGGGGAGGCGGGGGTGGGGGTGGGGGTGGGGCGCTACCGAAAAATATTTGAAAAATGGTGTTTGAACACTTCCAAACCTGATGAGAACTAAGTCCACAGATCCAAAAAACAAAACAAAACTGCAAGCAACAGAAAGATGGAGAGCACTACACCAACTGTTATAAACAAATGGCTTAAAAATCAACAATAAAGAGGAAATCTTTAAAAAAGACAGAAAATATGTTTATATATAGAAGAACCAAAGGCAAGGAAAAGACTAAATGTTTTCCCTTAAGGAAACAAAACTAAGGTGTTTTTTAATTGAAGTATCATTGATATACAATCTTATATTTTTTTCAACTATACAACACAGTGGTTCAACAGTTACCCATATTATTAGATCCTCACCACCACTAGTGCAGTTACTATCTGTCAACAAAGGAAGATGTTACAGAATCATTGACTATATTCTCCATGCTGTACTACATTCCCCATGACCAACTAATATTATGAATGAGAACTATGTTGCTCTTTTATTCCCCTCCCCATGTCCCCTACTCCAACCACTCCACCATGGTAACTACCAGTCATTTCACAGTGTTTAAGAGTATACTGCCATTTTGTTCATTTTGTTTTGTTGTGTTTTCAGATTCTACAGATGAGTGAAAGCATATGGTATTTGTCTTTATCTGCCTGGCTTATTTTCTTTAGCATAATACCTTATAGGTCCATCCATGTTATTGCAAATGCAGGGTTTCTTTCTTTCCTATAGCTGAATAACCTGCCATTGGTATATGTACCACCTCTTCTTTATACGTTCATCTTTTGGTGGACACTTTGGTTGTTTCCATAGCTTGGCTATTGTAAATAATGCGGCAGTAAACATAGGGGCACATATATCTTTTCAAATCAGGCATTTTGTTTTGTTTGGGTAAATTCCTAGAAGTGGAATTAGTAGGTTTTATGGTATTTCTGTTTTTAGATTTTTGAGGAACCTCCATAATGCTTTCCACAGTGGCTACACCAATTTACATTCCCACCAAGAGTATAGGAGGGTCCCCTTTTCTCCACATCCTCACTAACGCTTGTTATTTCTTGTCTTTTGGATAGTGGCCATTCTAACTGGTGTGAGATGATATCTCATTGTGGTTTTGATTTGCATTTCCCTGATAATTAGTGATGTGGAGTATCCTTTCATGTGCCTGTTAGCCACGTCCGTACTTCTTCTTTGGAAAAAACGTCTGTTCAGGTCTTCCACCGATTTTTAATTCGATTATTTGTTTTTTTGGTGTTGAAGCATATGAGTTCTTTATATATTTTGGGTGTTAGACCCTAATCAGATAAATCGGTTATGAATATATTCTCCCACACTGCAGGTTGCCCTTTTGTTCTGCTGATTGTGTCCTTTGCTGTGCAGAAGCTTTTTGGTTTGATGCAGTACCACTAGTTCATTTCTTATTTTGCTTCCTTGTATATGTTCAGGAAAAAATTGCTCATATTTGAAGGGCCCCCACCAGTAAGATGGCGAACTTTCGGCTTCTCTTCAAGGTCCTCGGTTCCCGACGGTGCCACCTGAAGACCAATCACCTCTCTCCCCCCTCCCACTCCCAGCACCTAGCCAACAGCCACCAGCCCCGTAGAAGGAACACCACAATCACCCCATGCCCCTTCCTATATAACCCAGCACCTTTCCCTAATAAAGCGGATTTCTCCGGTGAATTGCTGCTGTGTGTCGCTCCTTTCCTTTCAATATTTACTTTCAAGAGATTTTTGCCTATGTTTTCTTCTAAGAGTTTTATGGTTTCATGTCATAAATTTAGGTCCTTCATCCATTTCAAGTTTACCTTTTTTAAGGAGTTAGACAGTAGTCTGGTTTCATTCTCTTGCATGTTGACATCAGACACAGGTTTTTGCCAATACAGGTTGTTGAAGAGACCGTCTTTTCCCCATTATATACTCAAGGCTCCTTTATCGTATATTAATTGACTGTACATGTGTGTTTATATCTGAACTCTCTAATCTATTCCATTGATTTATGGGTCTGTTTTTCTGCAAGAACCATACTATTTTTTATTACGGTAGCTTTGTAGTACAGTTTGAAATCAGGGAGTGTAATTCACCCAGCTTTGTTCTTCTTTCTCAGGATGGCTTTGGCTTTTCAGGATCTTTTGTGGTTCTGTATTAATTTTAGAACGATTTGTTCTAGTCCATTGAAGAATGCTGTTTATATTTTGATGGGGATTGCATTGCATCTATAAATTGCTTTAGGTAGAATGGCCATTTTGACAGTATTAATTCTTCATATTCATGAGCATGGAATGTATTTCCATTTATTGGTGTCTTCTTCAATTTCTCTCATGAGCGTCTTGTAGTTTTCAGAGTATGGGTCTTTCACCTCCTTGGTTAGGTTATTCCTAGGTATTTTATTCTTTCTGATGAAATTGTAAGTGGAGTTGTTTTCCTGATTTCTATTTCTGCTAGTTCATTGTTAGTATGTAGGAATGCAACAGATTTCTGTGTATTAATTTTGTATCCTGCAAATTTGCTGAATTTACTTATTAGTTCTTATAGTTTTTTGGTGGATTCTTTAGGGTTTTCCATGTACAGTATCATGTCACCTGCAAATAGTGACAGTTTAACTTCTTCCTTGCCAATTTAGATGCCTTTTATCTCTTTATCTGATTGCCATGGCTAGGACTTCCAGCAGTATGTTGAATAAAAGTGGTGAGAGTGGACATCCTTGTCCTGTTCCTGATCTTAGAGGAAAAGCTTTCAGCTTTTCACCATTGATTATGATTTTAAGTATGGGTTTGTAGCATATGGAATTCATTATGTTGATGTACATACCCTCTATACCCATGTTCTTGAGTTTTTATCATGAATGAATGTTGAATTTTCTCAAATGTTTTTTCAGCATCTATTGAGATGACTGTGTGGTTTTTAATTTTGTTAGTGTGGTGTAGGACACTGATTGATTTACTAAATCATATCATCCTTGCTTCCTTGGAATAAATCCCACACAGTCATGATGGGTGATCCTTTTGGCACTATTTTTGCATTCAGTTTGCTAATATTTTGCTGAGGGTTTTTGCATCTATGTTCATCAGGGATATTGGTCTAATTTTTTCTTTTATGCAGTGTTTTTGTCTGGTTTTGGTATTAGAGTGATGCTGGTCTCTTAGATTGAGTTTGAAAGTATTCACTCTTCTACTTTTTGGTATACTTTAAGAAGGATGGGATTAGTTCTTCTTTAAATGTTTGGTGCAATCCAGCTATAAAGCCATTTGTTCTTGGGATTTTGTTTGTTGGGAGTTTTTTGATTACCAACTCAATTTCATTATTTGTAATGGGTCTGTTCCTATTTTCTGTTTCTTCCTGGGTCAACCTTGGAAGTTTGTACTCTTTATACATTTCTCCTAGGTTGTCTAATTATTGGCAAATAATTTTTTATAGAATTTCTAATAATTCTCTGTATTTCTGTGGCATCCATTGTGGCTATTCCTTTCTCATTTCTGATTTTGTTTCTTTGTGTCCTCTCTTTTTTTCCTCTGATAAGTATGGCTAGAGGTTTGTCTACTTTGTTTAATCTTCTCAAAGAAGCAGCTCTTGTATATGCTTTAGGTTTGTGGTTACCATAAGGTTCATGGATAGCTTCCTAAGTATATAATAGTTTGTATTAAGTTGATGATTCCTCTATTTCAAGAACAATCTAAAATTACTTATTTTTTCTTCTTCCTCCTCCACACTTGATGTATTAGATAT